TGAGAGAGAGAGAGAGAGAGAGAGAGAGAGAGAGAGAGAGAGAGAGAGAGAGAGAGAGAGAGAGAGAGAGAGAGAGAGGACAAAATTTGTCGCTACACCAAGGACCTGGGCTTTCTTCCAACTTCAATGATTCTGCCGGCAATAGTCTGATGCCCAATGCCCCGTGTGCACGTTTTAAAGGAGGCAGGCTTCAGCTTGTTTGTTTATTGTTTTACAATCCCCAAAGCGTCTTCCCAATTTTATATTTGACCAACTCGGAGATCTGGGTCTGCGTAATGAAAAAAATTAAAAATAAAAAAATTGACGGTTTTGATAACATGAAATCGAGATCGCTGAGGACAAACAAAAAGAACATTGAAGTTGTCAAGTGGATGGGAGCAGGAGTGCAAGAATCGCATAGATAGGGCCTCACTCCACTACTCACCACATCATCTACACAAAGCGAAAAAAAAAAATGGAGCGCGGCGTATCTTCCCTTCTTCTAGCGTAAGATTCATTCTTTTCTTGCACATTTGGTGAGTCGTGGAGCGAGGCCACTCTGAGCCAACCTACTCTCCCATCCCAGTTCGGCAGACCCTATTTGTTGAACCGATAATTTTTGGCGTGGTAAGCAAAAAAAATAAAAAAATAAAAATAAAAAAATTTAAAGCTAAAGCTATATTCTCCTCTCAATTTCAGCTTTCACTATCTATCTACCACTACTCCTAAGGGTATACAGGGGGGGACGCCTGCAAGCATAGCTTTCTACCTTTCACAATCAAGGGAAGGTATGTTGTCCCCACGCCATAATCGGCGGCGGTCAGGGAGTAGAGAGGGGGGGGGTGGGGCGGCGCCCCGGGGAGGGGGGGGGGCTGGGTAATGCAAAGACCGAGCATGCTAGTAGCTGCGCCTCCCATCCTACTTCCCTCACCCCCCACCGAGTAGCAGCAGTGGCTTGATTTTTTTTTTTTTTAATGGTTGAAAACTACGCGACATTCTTCCCTCAAATCGTTTCATCATCTTTTTTTTTTTTTTCCTTTTTTTTTTCTTTTTTTTTCATCGTCTTTCAAATTCTTTCAATTCACCCTCACTACCTACCTGCCACTACAGTCTTCCCCCGAATACAACGTACGGTCATTATAGCTGAATTTAGAATGAAAGATAGACCAAATTCGGCGATAATGACCGTGCGTTGTATTCGGGGGAAGACTGTACTCTTTAAGGCTTATACACGGGACCGCTGCAAAAAACATAGCTTTGTTGTCTCGCTCCAGCCATCAGAGGGGATGCATGTTGGCCCCCCTGACCCCCCCCCTCCCCAACCATGGTGGCCAAGGATAGGGTGGGGCCGTCGGTGGGGGTCCGGCTAACGCAAAGACCGAGGCTAGTTTGAAATTTCGGGCGCTCAGTCTGCTTTAAAAAAAAAATAAAAAAAAAATAAAAAAAAAATAAAATAAAAACTTGGGGCCTGCCAGGTCACGGAGTCTCTCCACGACGTTCCGCATTTGGTTCGGCCTAATCATTTTTCATGTGTATTTAAAAAAAAAAACTCTTATTTATTTCTGAATGCAGCAGAAGGTACCCTAAATGTTGCCGCCGCCCCTTAGGGTAGGGGGTCTGCTATGCTTGCAGGGGTCCCCTGTATAGGCTTAGGAGTAGTGGTAGGTGGATAGTGAAAGGTGAAATTGGGAGGAGAATATAGCTTAATTATTATAAAAAAAAACCCTACTCCATACCCTAAATCCCTGCTGGAGATTGTTGGCGTTAGACACTGCTGCTTCATGATGGGGGGGGCAGAGTCCCACTAGCAGCGTTGAGTTTCTGGACGTGTTTGTGGAGATGTGCATTTGAGGAAACTCGACGCGATTTCTGTACATTTCCTCAAACACGTTCAGATTCAGGCGTTTGAGTTTTTCCTCAACGCTGCTAGTGGGACTTTGCCGCAGGGGGTGGGGAACGATGAAATGGGAGGCGCAGCTACTGGCAAAATGCTCGGTCTTGTCCTTCGGGACATCCATTAAAACTGGAACGATAAAGAGAAGATTAGCATGGCCCCTGCGCAAGGATGACA